CCCCAAAACCCCAAAACCCCAAAACCCCAAAACCCCTTTTAATTGCTGAAATATTGAAAATAATTGTTAGCAATAATTATAGAGCATTTCTGTTTATTTGTGATTAGTATTCTTGCAATTCCATCTCTGGGTTGAGTTAAAATCCTTGGCTTCCCGCTTCAGTCGTGTATTATAATAACCAATAACTTTTAGAATACCTAATTATGAAATTTAAGAAGAGACATTAATCCAGAAAGTGTTTGGATCATCTTTCATTCTCTTCATTAAAAATGCATCTTTATCCTGTTCTGCAATAGAAGATAAGCTTCATTAAAACATCAGATATCATTTCAAGCTTCTTCTATTCTTTGCAGACAATTAATTTTTATCAACTCATTGGTATCATAAAAGATATATTTCTGTGATTTTTCCATGATGGCTTCTAGAACCAAAATTATTAAGCTAGGGTACACACTGACTTATTTAAAACGATAGAGTATTGTCAGAAGTCTCCCTAAAATTACTGTCCTGATTGTTTGATGAAAATAATATGAGAAATAAATGGAATTTCATTGAAATTATATGCAGGGCCAAGCATACTCCAGACCACTTTTAAACGAACTTGCATTATTTATATTTATCCAGAGTTTTCAGCATCTAAAATTACCTCATTCCTAACTCCGGATAACTGTGGCATATCTTCTGGGGCTGATATTAAACTTTCACTTAAATCAGGATCTAATTATTAGGTATTTATAAAATTTGTCCAGCTTCCCCTAAAAATATGGCAAAAGATATGCTGACCACCCATAATATTATATATTACCAAATTCTGCTTTCTAAACCAGTAGCTAAATAGCACGAGAGGGTGAATAATTTATCGAAGTGGGAAATCAAACCCAAAGCCAAACTATTTTGATGATTAAAATTTTTATATTATTGTAATAATAAGTTTGGTGCTCAGTTGGGTCGGAATTTAGTGGAAACTCTTTCTTGGTATTATAATGTGACAAGATATTCTATAAGAGGGTTGAGAAATAGGACATTTGAACATTAGCATAAGAATAACTTTGCAAGACAGCATTAAGTATTGCTTAAATTTTTTGAATTTTACAAGACAGACTTCCTGAATTCTTAGTTTGCTAAATACCAACCTTGAGCTCATTCGAATTCTCCCTCATATGAATTCAAAAATATGCAAACTGATTGCTTCAGAAATAATCTTTAGTAATTTGGTCACATCCCATCTTCTTAAAACCCCATGAATTCGCCAAACAGTTAGAATATTGGTATTGGTTAGTTCAACTTGCCTCCAACCCATCCCTTATTTACTAATCAGACTAGAGACTTCTAAAATCGAGCTTTGCAGTCATTTCGCCACCAACCTGTTTTCATTAATTCAGGATTTTACAGTCAGTTTCCTCACTATTCCTTGTGCTTTACTACAGATTGTCCAGAACTATAGACTTGGATTTTGGGCACTATCTGTTCAGAGTTTTGGTGAATAGATCGTCAGGTACTTAAAAGCACCATTTAGTGGTCAATAATTAGTAAGGTTAGACTCTAACATCTTCTATTAGTCGAAGTCAATATTCATGATTAGAGGGCTCTCAAATTGGTAGACTGGCAAACCTAAATTACTGAATTAATAAAGTCCAGGTTATTAAAAAGGCACATTGAGAGCTATTTGGCATAACTAGTCTCTATGTTTTAATGAAGATACTATGCTTACTACATAATGTTTTCAACTCTAAATTGTCTCTTTGTAGCCAAGGTTCCAGAATATAGTTTTGACTGCGATACTGATGGTGGGATTTTGAGGTTGGTGGATGAGCGAAAACAGAGTTCAAGGAACTGTTGAAAGCAGAGGTTTGCTTGTTTGATAGGGATTGGGAGAAGAATCAAAAACTTTCAATAATTTTTGAAATATAAGGGGTTTTGGGGTTTTGGGGTTTTGGGG